CATATACATGTACTTATGTTGCGTATGAAGTTTGAGCTGATTCCGATCAAAATTGAATTTTTTTTTACAAATTTTTAAAGTTGCTCCAAAATCGGACAAAAGTCCCTGTACTATAGTACATGGTCACAGGCCAAATTTCACCAAAAATGAAAAGGAGAGAATTCTCCATTTTAATAATGTTTCCTGATACATATACATGTCCTTATGTTATGTAAAAAGTTTGAGCTGATTCCGATCAAAATTGGATTTTTTTTATGAATTTTTTAAGTTGCTCCAAAATCGGACAAAAGTCCCTGTACTATAGTACAGGGTCACAGGCCAAATTTCACCAAAAATGAAAAGGTGAGAATTCTCCATTTTAAAAACATTTTCTGATACACATACATGTCCTTATGTTGCGTATGAATTTTGAGCTGATTCCAATCAAAATTTGATTTTTTACGAATTTTTTAAGTTGCTCCAAAATGGGACAAAAGTCCCTGTACTATAGTACAGGGTCACAGGCAAAATTTTGCCAAAAATGAAAAGGTGAGAATTCTCCATTTTTATAATATTTCCTGATACATATACATGTACTTATGTTGCGTATAAAGTTTGAGCTGATTCCGATCACATATACTTACATTGCTCTATCTATTGCTCCCTCTTCTCCAGACAGTCCCAGTCCATAGAAACAGAGACTTCCCATAGCAACCAGCGATGCCCCGCCCAGTACCGCCCGCCCCAACTTATCACCTATTATATAAATTAAATAAATATCGTACAAGCATATTTATTATTTAAATTATTTATTATTATCTATTTTACTTACCAGTCCATTGTGAAGTTCTTGTCCCTACTCCACTCTGACTCTCAACTACTGTTCCTTCTACAGTGCGAGATGCCTGTCTCCTAAAAGGCTGAAACTTGAAGCTTTTATTCCCAGTATTGCTTGCAAAAGTATTGTGTCCTCGTCTTATCGAAAAGCAGGCCGAGTTATGAGCAATTCTAGCAAAACGACTAAAAGTCGCCATTTTTCTTGATTGCACTCACGTGATCTTTCACCGTCACCATGGCAACTAAAGAAAAACATTGCACATGGCTTAAATGCACTGAAACAAGTATAGAAAATGTCTCACTTGTAAGCAAGAAGGCAAAGAAAGAGAGAGACTGTGTTTATTTATGTTTATATAGATATTATAACAATCAGTGGCACTCGGCCCAGCGGGGACTGGAGGACCTTCTTGCCATTGAGAAACCCAAAGAACCAGTGAAGCCTGAAAAGGTATGTGTACAGTGTATAGACATTATATGAGAGGCTGTTTTTTGCTCTCTAGGATAAAGTTGCTGCATTTCAGAAAGTGGCTACAATGTACGTTAAGTATATTCAGATATTTAGGAGTCTTGAAGAATGTTACGATCAGGTGCAGTGCGATTTACTATAGTGTACTGGGATTTACTAATAATATACTGACTTTAGATAACGCATCCTCAAAAGCGTCGCCTGGTCCGTCATGTACTGGATGGAACTATCGGCAGGTAATTAATTAATATTTTATTAATTGGTATTAATTAATTTGTAGGATTTTAGAATTAAAAGGTGAAATGGTTGGATTAGAATTGTTGGAGTATCAATATTTCGATGATATTTTAACCGACATGAAGCTAACGCCAGTAAGAATAACATTTATACATGTACTTGTACATATTTTAAGTAATTATAATACCTGAGGACTGAGATATCTGCTTGAGGTGAAGCTGAGGGCAGATATCAAGGGACTCAGGTATTACATTACTAATACTCACCTCCAGACACACACACACACTGGTCACTACATATAGAACACAGTGACTCTCTCTCCCTCCCTCCCTCCCCCTCTCCCTCTCATTAGTCTGATATAGAGATCCCCATACCACGTTATTTTATAATGGAGAACTACAGAGAACTCAAGGAAAGGGAGAAGATCCTTGGTTCAGTACTAGCTAAAATGGGACCAGCAGAAACAGAAGTACAGTATATTATAAAATAATAATAAATACACAGAATCATAACTATGTACATGTACACCTTATTGCAGGTCAAAGAAGATATTGATATGACAACTGAAGAAGCTATCAAGCTCATACAGGTGAGAGCGTATTTGGATTTGAAATTATAAAGTTATTCATGTGTAGATTCATGAGAGAGCCAGGCAAGGAAGACTAAGAGCAAAACTGATGAAAGGAATTAGGTACTGCACTGCTGTATAAAATATTAATAAAATAAACTATAGATAATACAATATATATTGTATACAATAATGCATTAAATGAACTGTACTTGTACATGTACACAATACCCATACTGTTATACTGTACACAATACCCATACTGTTATACTGTATACAATACCCATACTGTTATACTGTATACAATACCCATACTGTTATACTGTATACAATACCCATACTGTTATACTGTATACAATACCCATACTGTTATACTGTACACAATACCCATACTGTTATACTGTATACAATACCCATACTGTTATACTGTATACAATACCCATACTGTTATACTGTATACAATACCCATACTGTTATACTGTATACAATACCCATACTGTTATACTGTACACAATACCCATACTGTTATACTGTATACAATACCCATACTGTTATACTGTACACAATACCCATACTGTTATACTGTATACAATACCCATACTGTTATACTGTACACAATATGCACCAATTTGTACATGTACCAATGTATCTACTTATCTATTAAATATCATTAATGTCTTTTTCTCTTACTCTTCTAGAGCTCAGGAGGAGAGAGAGAGAGAAGCACAACTGAGAGGACCTCCTAAGCTAAGCAGAGATGAAGCTGCCACCAGAATACAAAAAGTACTTTAGAGAGAGAGAGAGAGAGAGAGAGGGAGAGAGGGAGAGAGGGAGAGGGAGAGAGAGAGAGAGAGAGGGAGAGAGAGAGGAATGAGAACTGTACTTGTATACACTGGTAGGTATGGAAAGGATTCTCTCAAAGGAAAAGGATTGTAGACATGAGGAATGAAGAAATGCTCTTCCTTGGAATGGTAGTGCTATTATATGATTCATTTATTATCATTCAGTACATGTACTGTAATGTACATTAACTGCTGCATCATTACATGTACATCAATACTGTACTGTATAGGTACCTCCTCCTCTGCCTAAGTCTCAGAAACACTCTGTAATAGGACAATCAAAGAAAATAGAGGTATAGCATTTTACTTATTATTTATTTGTTTGTTTGTTTATTTATTTATGTATTTATTTTATTTATTTATTGTTATTTTTCATAGGATAAAAGGAGATTAGCTCAAGAGCAATATGAAAAAGATTATCAAGAAGTAATAACAGCTAGACTATACTGTACATGTACTTGTACTCATCTCATCCATTCCTCTCCCCCTCAGGCCCTGATCAGTATCAAGGAGAGACTGATAGAAGCTGAAGGACCTGATATGAAGGAACAAATGCAGGATCAGATCAGGCAATGGTTCATTGAAGTTAGGTCAGTTGACAAATCAATTTTATTACTTTTTCTTATACATATACATGTACTTATGTTGCATAGAAAGTTTGAGTTCATTCCAATCAAAATTGGATTTTTTACGAATTTTTAAAGTTGCTATCGTCATGTATATTTATATGTGTTATATTTCAGAGATGCTACTGGTAAATTTCCTGACTATCCTGATGAAGATGCTGGGGGTTCGGCAGCCATTTTTAAACAGAGGGAGGAGCCAGATCCTAATGAAGATAACGATGTACATAATTAACTAATTAAATTAATTAATTAATTATTATTATTATTTTATTAATTTGATTTTCCAGGGAGGCAAAAAGAAGAAAGGTAAAAAAGGCAAGAAGGGGAAAGAAAAAGGCAAAAAGGGAAAGAAAGGAAAGAAAGGAAAAAAGGGAAAAGGAGAAGAAGTAATTTATAATAATAATTATTATTAACACTAAAAATTAATACTAAATATCATATTTTATAGGAAGAGGAAGGCTTCCAATTGGCACCGTCAAATTTTATCCCCACGATATCCGAGGGGTCCAGTAACTATGTTGATGTATGGATGGGCCGATCTGAAGCTCACAACTTTCAACAGAGACACGACTCGGAGCTAATTAAGGCTCGGAAGAGGTGGGCGGATCATGTGATCGTCATGTGACTTTCGTGTTACATTTGTAGGGTGGAGATTGAGGCTGAGATTAGGATCAGGGTCGATGAGCTTATGAGAGAAGAATTGAAGAATTTGAAACTAGTAAGAATTAAAGCAATATTTGAATTAATTTTTGAATTTAAATTTTGAATATTTGAATTTAAAACACCTTTAGGCTATTGAGAAGGATAAAGGTAAAGGTAAAAAAGGAGGGAAGAAGGGAAAGAAAGGGAAAAAAGGAAAGAAAGGAAAAGGGAAAAAGAAAAAAGGAGAGAAAGACCTTACGCCCGACAGGTAAACAAATTCATTTATCACTAATTGTTATTATTGTTGTTATTGTTATTTGTTGTTGCTATTATTGTTGTTGTTATTATTATTATTGTTGTTGTTGTGTACAGAACTATTGAAAGTCTTTATGAAGAATTGGCAGGAGAAGGTGTTGTAATGAAATGTCCAAAATATCATCTATCAGATTATATTGGGGACTTTAGGTACAGCAGTATTAAAATAGCATTAGTAGCATTGTTCATATTCATGTACATCCCATTGCATTATACAGTGTATGATCCACATCCTTTCTCCTTGCTCCTTCAGTTATTTAGCTACCACACTGCGTCAGATGCCTGTGGATCCTAACAACACAGACAAGAATGCAGAGAAGATTGAGCCAATGCCTTCACTAGCTGACATTAAGAGAGTCGTAACTGAACACTGTATACTACCACTAGGTAAGGGTATGGCACTATTGTATAATGGATGTACATGTAGATACAAAATGTCCTCATAACAGTATAGCGCTTTACTTTTGTGGAGCTGAAATTTCACGGATTGATAAAAATCAATTTTTTGCGGAAATAACTTTTGCGGATTCGCAATGATGGTGCCACACCTTTAATGGTAATTGAAATTTTAGCGGATCTTTAATTTCGCGGTTTTATGCTAACCGAAAAAATAGTGAAAGTTTAGCTCCTCGAAAATAAAGCGCTATACGGTATCCTTCTAACAAAGGTATATAAGAAGGTGTCCTAATTATAGAGGCTACACTGTACATGTACTGTAGGCATATTTGTGCATTATGAAAAATGCATGTATTTTTTGCAAATAATGCTATTTGCAAAAAATACATGTATATATATGTATTATAGCATGTATTTCTCCTTATGCAGGGTCACAGGCAGCTCATGAGAAGGCTCCACACATCAAGTCAGTGATGATAACTGGTCCCAGAG